AGTCACAGAAAACAGAACAAGAATCGTCAACTTCACCCTCTGCTCACTCCTTTCCTGTATATCCCCATATGCTCCATCAAGACAGTGCACACTTACAACTACAGTAAGCATGCTAATCTAATACAGCTCCGGCGATCCACTAGCACCCCCCACCCCCCCCGCGGTGGTTTTGAAATGCTCCCGATTTCTGAGGTCTCAAGGTTGGCAAGTATGTTCGCCAGTCATTAGTAAAATGTCCCTGTGCAACATGTTGTTTAGTTAAAATATATCTATACATCTAATATGACAGTTTATAAGCATTGACAACATAGTTAAAGGATGATGTACTTACTTTCGTGATGTTGGGAAAAAGTGAATCTCTCGCTTGAGGCGTCCGCAGAGTATAGCCCGCCTACGTAGACGCTGATTGGTCAATTTTTGGTTGCTGCGGGAGCAATTCTTGGTAGCAATACGGGCGCTGATTGGCCAGAGCTCTCAATTATTGGTAGAATCTTGGTAGCAGACGTGAACGTGATTGGCTGTCGCTATCAAGAATGAGCTCGACTCACAGGCGACGGGGAGCGCCCGGATGATTATATATTTACCCATAATGCATCTTGTTTGTCCAAATAATTGTTTTTAATAATCAAACACACAACAGCAATGCCCCAACCGGAAACTAGGAAAGTCATAATTAACCTCTTTGAGAAAACATTAAAAAACGGCTTTTTGGAACATGCAGTGTCGATAATCCACCACAAGATGGCGCTGCTGCCTCTCTCTTCGCAGAGAACAGTCTCCCACTCCTCTGAGAGGGAGCGGACCCCTTTCTCCTTTTATAACAGAGAGGGAATGGGACAGAGGGAGATAGAGGTGGGCAGAGGTGAGAGTGAGAGGACAGCAGCTGGGCTCCTGCCATATCTCATTTATATTTAGGGATCTCAAAGAAGAGGAGGGAAAGGACTAAAGCAGGAGTGTTTGGTGCGTAAAACGGGATAGGTTGGTCTCCAAATTCTAGGAGTTCACTTTGAGGCTGATCGGTTTTATTTGGAGGTGGGTTTCTGTGCCTCGTAGGAATATTTTTTACACGATTTGCGTCCATTTCAGATCAGAATTATTGTTATTATAAGTAATTCCGGAGTTGTTAACTCTGATTTTTTTTTAAACTATAGCAGGATTGTTTGGTGCGTAAAACGAAATAGGTTGGTCTCCAAATTCTAGCACTTTGAGGCTGATCGGTTTTCTTTGGAGGTGGGTTTCTTTGCCTCGTAGGAATATTTTGTACATGTTTTATTATTACATCCTTATCACATCATCAGAATGTTATTAAAAGTACTTCCTAATTCTGTCCATTTGTCTCCATTTCAGCGCATCGGTGCACGGATTACAATGCAAAGCGTTTTGGAGGTTTGGCTCACCTTGGTGACGGTGGGGTCGCTCACAGAGGGGGTATCTGGAGGGTACGGGCTCAGCATGTTCGCGGCTCAGTCGTCCCCCCCTGATCCCTGCTACGATGAGAACGGGAACCCTCGGAGGTGCATCCCGGACTTCGTGAACTCCGCGTTTGGAAAGGACGTGCGCGTGTCCAGCACCTGCGGGACCCCGGCCGCCAGGTACTGCGTGGTGACCGAGAAGGAGGAGGAGAGGACTCGGGACTGTCACACCTGCGACGCCGGAGACCCCAAGAAATCTCACCCTCCTGCGTACTTAACGGACCTCAACAACCCGCACAACCTCACCTGCTGGCAGTCCGAGAACTACGTGCAGTTCCCGCAGAATCTCACCCTCACTTTATCCCTGGGGAAGAAGTTCGAGGTGACCTATGTGAGCCTGCAGTTCTGCTCACCCAGACCCGAGTCCATGGCCATCTACAAGTCCATGGACTACGGGAAGTCCTGGGTGCCGTTTCAGTATTACTCCACTCAGTGCAAGAAGATGTACAACCGGCAGAATAAAGCAGCGATCACCAAGCAGAACGAGCAGGAGGCCATCTGCACGGACTCCCACACCGACATGCACCCTCTGACTGGGGGGCTCATCGCCTTCAGCACCCTGGATGGGAGACCCTCTGCGCACGACTTCGATAATTCCCCCGTGCTGCAGGACTGGGTGACGGCCACCGACATAAAGGTGATCTTCAGCCGGCTGCACACGTTTGGAGACGAGAACGAGGACGACTCGGAGCTGGCGAGAGACTCCTACTTTTACGCGGTGTCTGACCTGCAGGTCGGGGGCAGGTGCAAGTGCAACGGGCACGCGTCGAAGTGCGTGAAAGACCGCGAGGGGAACCTGGTGTGTGAGTGCAAGCATCACACCGCGGGCCCGGAGTGCGACAGGTGCAAACCCTTCCACTACGACCGGCCCTGGCAGCGCGCCACGGCCCGCGAGGCCAACGAGTGTGTCGGTAAGGAATCTGCTTCTTTTTTTGTTGTCCTTTACTGTGGATTTATTTCAGCTCTGAAATCTGCTTTTCATTGTTTATATATTTTCTGATCCATGTAAAAAAAAATCGTTGTAATTACGCACTATCATTTTCCTGCCATTACGCACGACAATTACGCACAAGTGTTACTCGAAAATGTGAATGTTGTATTAATTATTCTTGCTGGGAATGAGATTGGGTCACTGAAAACTTGATTTTATTCTACATACATGCTTGTGCTGTAAACACGGATTACTAGGAGGTGATATAAACTCAAATTAGGGGTTTATTAATTTGTCTGTGGCTAATAAATCCTTTTTGAGGCAAAGAAAGAAAACAAGGCCTCCATCTGAAACCCCGCGGCCTGAATAGTAAAAAGTAATGTCTTGATATTTAAAAGAGATATTTTTTTAAACATTTAAATCTAATCAAATTGATCATAATTGTATTTCGAAAAACGACCTCTCTAGGTATTGTTTAAAATGCTCTAAATAGAGTATATTACAAAAGGGCCATGCTAATTCAATATTCTGCAGGCCTAAACACATAATTCAAATTAATTATTAAACCCACATTTTCTATTTTGTCAGATAATTGATAATATATCTATCAAGCATCGTCCATTTTAAGAATCTTAAATACACACAATTTAACTGCCTAATTAAAGAAATGTCTCAATCAAAAATGTAAAGTAATATTTCCTTTATGCCAAGATCAAATCAAAGTGTGTTTCACAACCCACCCTCAATGTATTGTTCAGTAATACATTGCCTGCTGATTTGTATCAACACCCAGAAGAAAAGAAAGCGCCGGAAGTCATTTCCACAAACACAGTGCGCCTGTCCGAATGCGTAATTGCGCTTTGACCCGCGGGGTTTCCGACTGTAGTAGTGGAGCTTTCTTTTTTAAATAGGAAGGAAACATTGCTGCTGCGGAGATAGACTGCAGGGGCGTTTTGTGTTTCCATAAGCAGGTGCTGCTGCAGATTGCATGGCAGATTAAAGCGCTTTTATTGACATTTTTGGCACGTAGAGTATAAACTACTGCTGTGGAGCCAGAGAGAGGAGGACAAAGAGGGAGGTCATTTGAAGCCTGATGTGAGTTTTTTATTTTAGCACTAGTGCATT